ATCTTTTTTGTATAGAGCATTGCTTGCAGATGTTAGATCTAAGGGTTATTTGGCACTAACAACAGCAACATCTGGTATAGCAACATCAGTTTTACCTGGTGGTAGAACAGCTCACTCTCGATTTAAAATACCAATAGATATTGCAAAAGGAAATGGCTGCAATATGAGTAAACAAAGTAGTCTTGCTACTTTACTTAAAGAAAGTAAACTAATTATATGGGATGAAGCACCCATGACAAAAAGATCATCTATTGAAGCACTTAATGATCTACTGAAAGATCTGTTAGACTCAGATGAGATATTTGGTGGAAAGATAGTTGTTCTAGGAGGAGATTTTAGACAAATTCTGCCTGTTGTTCGTAGAGGAAATAAATCGGACACTATCAATGCATGCATGATAAACTCCCCATTGTGGCCACTTCTTGAAAAATATAAGCTCACTGAAAATATGAGAGCAAAGGATGACCCATTATTTACTGAATTTTTGCTTAGAGTGGGTAATGGTATTGATAATGATAAAATTGATAATACAATAAAAATTCCTGAATCAATTTTGTTGCCATATGAGGATGATGAAACAAGTTTGAATAAGCTCATAGACTTAGTATATCAAAATAAGTATTGGAATAATCAAAATAACAAAATATCATTAAATAGAGCAATTCTTACCACGAAAAATAGATTTGTGGATGAAATTAATGACTTATTGATAGTTTTCCTGGTAAAATGGTTGAATATACAAGTTTTGATGAAGTTTTGAATCCATCAGACCAGGGACAATATGAAGATATAATCAACAGTCTCACACCAAGTGGCTTACCTCCACATAAATTGAAGTTAAAAATTAATGCACCTATAATTTTATTAAGAAATTTAGATCCCACAGAAGGATTCTATAACGGCACAAGATTAATTTGTAAGAATCTAACTCCTAATGTAATACATGCAGAAATAGCGGTTGGCGAATTTGAGGTAAAAATGTTTTTATACATAGAATTCCAATGCAACCTCCAAATGACGAACAATATCCAGTTCCCTATAAAAGAACTCAATTTCCAGTTCGATTGTGTTTTGCAATGACAATAAACAAAGCTCAAGGACAAACATTAGATTTTGTTGGAATATACATAAAAGAACCTGTATTTTCACATGGACAACTCTATGTTGCACTTTCTCGTGCAAGGACTTCTTCTAGCGTTAAGATGTTGATTAAACCACCATTCTTTGAAACAACTCCAAAATACAGAACAAAAAACATAGTGTATACTGAAGTACTTCAAGATTCAACAATAAAATAAAATTTGTAAGTAATTTTACCTATTTAGAATCATCTCATTTTAAGCTATTGTTCATTATTACTTTATGTCCAACGCATCTAAAAATGACTCCCATATTTTTTCAGGTCATAATGTCTCGAAAAACTTATCAATTAAGGAAGTGGATGACCAATTAGATGGTTGGACTGTAGCTCTCCAAGTTGTCGAAAGAGGCCATACAATGATCAGTCGCAAGTACAATGATCCACTGCCATATGTCCGATTCGTGCGCGCTCAAATTTTTTTTACTACTATTCTAATTTTTTTCAAAATTTTCTTACCTTTTACTTATACTTTACACCAATTCTTTATAAATAGATATCTTATATTAAATAAGAAAAAATAAATACAAAAAACATACATTAAGTTTCCAAATCCAAAATATAATATTTTTTTGTGTATCAAATTACTATATAGTACTATCTCAAATTTTTTTTGCCATTACGTAACTGATTTTTTTTTTTTAATGTGTACGTTTTCAGGGGACATTAGTTTCAGCAGTGGTGTATGCCAATAACATCAAATCCTTTGATGATTTGCTGATGCCATTTAAAAGATATTATGTATCAAATGCACAAGTAAAAGTCGTCGCAGACACGTACAAGATTGGCAGCTATCTCTATAGTTGGACTATTAAAAGCAAAACACCTGTGGAAGAAATTATAGAACTTGTTCCACCAATGCTTCCATGTCCCATCGAACTGACAAAGTTTAAGGATCTTTTCAAATATGCTGAGACAGAGATTGTGCAGAGTACGTATATAATATTTTTGTTTTTGACATTATTTTCTAAACAAAGATTAACTAAACACATTTCAAACAGATGTCATGGGGATTGTTGTGCATGTATTCCCACTTAAAGCTGGCAAAAATCAAACACGGGACATTGTCATAGTCAATGAAGAGTGAGCTACAGTACATTTAATATACTTTTCAAAGTTTAACCCAATTATCTAATTTTTACTCTCATTTTACAGAAAAATATGCATGTTGTTGGCATTATGGAACGATTATTGCACGCATGAAGGAAGCCAACTTGCAAACACAATAGCAAGTGGTAATGTCATTGTTGCCATGAGAATCAAAGTTACTACTTTTAACAGTAAGTTAACTTTTATAACCTACTTATATATTATATCTTTCTCCATAAATAAGATATATACATTTAACTATTCTTTTTATGTACTTGAAATATAATTTTTGCAGATTTGTCACTGAGCACTCAAATCAATCAAATCGCAAGTGCCATCTTGATCAATCCTCCATTGCCACAACTCATAACTTTGAAGCAATGGTTGAACAAAATTGCACATTACTAACTTGTCCCTAATAAATTACTTTAACATTTTAAAAATGTACTTATTGTAATATATAAATGATACAGGTACAAGAAAAACAAAGCGATTATAACTGCAAATCTCAGCTCAGCTGTTTACAAAAACCCAGACTTCTTGCTGCCACCTCCAGATGAACAATATATCATTGACGTCCACTCAGCCGTGAATGTTTTAAAAGATGTAAGCACAAAATATGAACTCTCATTTTTTATTCAACCATATATCTAATATAATTCGTATACTTTCATTATTATAAAAGTATTTCAATATATATTTCATAAAGCAGAACAAAACTGCGTGGGTGAAAGGAAGGTTGAAATTAGTTGATCCCCATCGTTCGCCTTGGTACACTGCTTGTGGACATTGCAAGAAGAATATTGAAGCTCGATTAGGTTGGAGTATAAAATGCCTATCTTGCAAAGAAGAAGCTACTGTTGAACCAAGGTTTGATGAACATATAAAATATTACACACAATGGATTATTTATTACCAAACACATAGCAAAATTACAATTCTATAATAATGATACACGCAGATGCCGTCTTCAAGTCATGATTTACAATGAAGTTGCATCTATAGAATCGGCCATCTTGGGAAAAGATGCTGAAAAGATGATTCCTTATACTGCTCAACAATTAAGTGTGACTAATAAGCAGGTAATCTCATTTACAAAATTTCAACTTTATGTTACCTCCTATTTTTTATTATATATCATATAATGAATAAAATTTACAGTGATAGTTTGCAACTTCTCTGGTAAGTGTTTTCCTTTAAGACTTTAACATTGAGAAAAAAAAAAAATCTTATAAAAGTACACAGTTTTATAGTCTTTGGAAAAGAATAACATAGCTAGACCAGATAGATTATTTGCATTTAATTCTATTCAACCTCAGTTTGTTGGTTGATTTAACGATTACTTTTATTGATCAATTACATTCATCTTGTTATTATATTGTGTGTATTCATTTTCTTTGGTTTATTTATTTACATATTTATTTTTTGTGTCAACTCTTAGTTATACAGTTATCTTGCTTTCAACCTACATAAATCTATTGGATAGTTTGTTATGGTGTTTGTCTACATTTTACTGTAATTGTTCCCTAAACCCCATAAACCCCATAATAACTCTATTGCCTAACTACAAAAACATGAATAATCCACCATGGCCATATTGCCATTGCATTGCATGAACACTATTCAACAACATTGAAAAATTGTCAGAACCATCCTTCAGCTACATTTATGTCTTACATACATTTCATAACTAGAGTTACAAGAAATTCATGATACCATGAAATGTTTTTAAGGATATATCCCTCAGCCTTGTCAAGCGTTACAATTCATCATAACATATTTCTTTTGGTAGGTACAAGACTTAAATTTGGAGATATCATCTGCACTGGAAAATTGCACTGTCATTTGCTTCATTAAGCACTTTGAGTCAAGTTATGGAGGGCAGAAAGTTGATAGATACAGTGTTATTAAAGTGTACACAGCTGAAGAAATGAAACAACACATCTCTCACAAAAACTCTCCACCAAAACAAGTATCTCAGCAACAATATTTCAGCCCAACAACAAGCAAGGTATTGGAGGCAATTGCCGAAAAAATTGAACCAATTCAGAAGGCTGAACCTTCAGTGTCTTCTTCAGCTAAAAGAAGCCTCTTCAAACCAGAGGATGCCATGGACATAGAATCACTTCCAAAAATGAAAATCCTTCCACAATTTGTCCAGCATGGCGATGTTGCTTGTCCTGATGTTGCTTGTCCAACTTCAACTCCACAGAAAATGGAATTGCCACCTCTACTCAAAAAGCCAAGGGAAAAAAAGGATTGACTTTGCTTTAAACATTGAAGTTAGAAACTGTTTACCTATATATTATCCATGACTGTTGGCTTTCTTAATAGGTGCTAATATCTACATTAGAGGATCCTGCTTTTGTTATATATGATAAGAATACCTCAATTAACAAACTCTGCTTTATCTTTTGTAGGGTTAAGGCATCTCCTTTTGTTGCATGTAATATAAGATGCCTGTACTTAAAACTACTCATATTTTATCTTTCGTATGATTAAAACATCTCTTTTGTTGTATGTATTATAAGATATCTACTTTTGTTGTATGTATTATAAGTTGTCTATATGGAATACTCAATGAAATTTAAGATGCCATCACATAAAAATATATATTTTGTGCCCATAACAATGCTATTTTATTTACATGAATTATCATATAACATAAATGAAAATATATACGAACACAAAACACACAGTGGGCATGGCCGTGCACGGCCAAGGCCTATCTAGTATATATATATATATATATATATATTTTAACACCCAATTTAAAAAAACGGCAAAAATTCATCCCTTTCACAAATTTCCGGCCGATCCAATGGAGCAAACCCCATCGTCTCCACAGCCCACCGACCAACAACCGCCTCCGCAAAACCCTCAACCAAAGCCCGCCACCCTCACCGACGCCGCTTCCACGACACCCTCCTCCCTCCCGCCGCCCGCGGCCACCAGCTCGTTCCCAAATCCAAACCCCAACTTCACCGCTGCCTCAAACCCCCCGGCAGCGACGCAATCCCAGCAATCAACTCCCACTTCACAAGCAAGGCCGACATTTGGTACTCGCCCATGGCAGCAGCAACCCTCCTACTCGCATTTCTCTCTGCCTTCGCCTCCCAATCCCGCTTCCTCTTCCTCGACACCGCCGTCGGTCTCCGCCCCGTCTCCTCCTCGCGGCGGAATAGCCATCGGAGTCCCTGCCCAAATACCCTCCGCCTCTCCATCACCTCCGGCATCGTTTTCTTCTCTCACTCCCCCATCTTATGGCCAACAATCCCAGGTTCTTTCCTATGCTTCCCTTATTCACGATAGTTTGTGTTTGTTTTGTTTATTTTATTCCTTTTTCCGCATTATCGGTAGCAATTTGAAGTAACTATATGTGTGTTGGTAGTTTGTCAACGTACTTTGATGTTTTGTTCTGAGTTATTGTGGGATTATAGATAAGACAGCCGATGCAAGGAATGGGGATTACTGGCACACTTGGTACAGCATCTGCAATGCGGCCTCTCCATCAGTTGAGGGCTCCTGCACAACCTCAAAGACCTCAGGCTAGCTCAAGTAGCCCGTCTCTTGCTGGGCAGGTTAGATATACTTGTTCTGTTAAGGATTCATCTTCAAAGAGAAAAAGAACTTAAGTGGTCAATGTTCAGTCGTTTATGGTTAAATTTTGATTCACAACTAGTAGTGCCTTCATGTTCTCCGAGGGTAGGAATTGACGTATTTTCTATGACAAGTTTGGAATTCTGTTGATCTGTTCCATGCATTTAGAATTTTATGGCTGCTTCTAATTACACTTCAAATGACATGGTTTGTAATGAGCTAAATCTGAAGAAGTTGTTCATGTGATATGCTTGAAAATGTGAAGTATAAAAGCACATTAAAAATTACAACAGGCCCAGTTTATAGTGGCCACTTTCAGTTGGGATTGCCAGAGTGAGTCACAATAATTTCTTGTTATTGTTACTGTTAGGTTTGGCTTTGATAGAAACCACCAACTCTAACAAGTGGTTCCTTTCCCTATTACTTTAGTGCCATTTAGAGTGAGACATCTTGGACTCCAAAATAATTGGTTTTGAATTCTATGTACATTGCTGCCCTGCTCTATCATGATATGATGCCGCTTTCAACTCTTATGCTTGTATAAAATGGATTTTCTGTTCATTAATTACGTTATCCTGTATAGATTATTTTTACAATTGCACGAGGTTTTCTTGTTGTGTACTAACTTGAACATTTATCAACACACACAAAAAAAAAAAATATTGTTACCTACGGAATTCATTACTCTTGTGTGGAGATGGGAGTGTGCTATATTATATTTTTCTTGATGCTAGTGCTCAACACACAGAAATATTTCTTACGAGCAGTAAATTTGATATTTCCTTATTGATTGCTGCCAATTTTATTAGAATTTCCAAGGACACGGCATTCACAGTTCTCAAACTCAGTCCCAGACTCAACCATGGTTATCTTCCGGAACTCAAGGCAAACCTCCATTGCCACCCCCTACTTTTCGGCCACAAGCGGGTCCCCAGTCATTCCAGCCAAGGTCAATCACCCAGCAACTTCAGAATAACATGTCTACCTCCTCACAGCAGCAGATAATCGGCTCAAACCAACATTCACCACAACCCTCAGCCTCAGGCCAGCCACAGGACCATTTTACCCCCCAAATCCCGACTTCAAGGACTCAACAGTCTTTGCCTCATCAACAACAGGTCTCAAGGGGCCCAGGATCAGGAATCCAAAGGCCCCCTATTGGCTTGACCCAACCTGGCAAAACAATGAGTGTCGACACAGACGAGTCTTCAAAGAGACTCTTGAGCAAGAGAAGCATTCAGGAAATTGTGAACCAGGTTGTGATTTTTCGTCAATTTCTATAGAATATTCTGGTTATTTACGTCTCTTTTCTATTAAAGAAGCTAGAACGCACTAGACTAGGTTTCCTAAGGTTGCTTGTCCAAAGTACTTTGTTTGTTGCCGGTGGAAGTGGCTGAAATTTTAGAGACGTTGTGGTTAGGCTTTTGATTAATTTTGATATGCATATATAATAAATTGGTCCTGTAGGTGGAAAATTGAATTCGTTAGAGGGATGTGATTGGGCATTGGTCTTTTGTGAGCTAAATTGTTTTATTGAACTAGCTATTGTGTATGAAAAATTTCATGATTTATGTGTTTGACTTTCTTTCATTTTATCAGATTGATCCATCTGAAAAGTTAGATCCTGAGGTTGAAGACATTCTTATCGACTTTGCTGAAGATTTTGTGGAATCAGTAAGTTATAATAATCAGATAATTTTATGTGTGTATTACAAATATGTGGACTACAATATGAGTTCCTTCATGTCTTTAAGTTATTGTCTAGCATACATAAATGGGTGAAACTTTAAATATGTTAACAAAAAACGTTGTCTGTACCATGCATATCTTTCAGTGTTTTTAATAGCGTGATTTCGCGCGCTTTGTAGCGCGCTATTCGTGTATTAGCCCAAAAATGCGCTGAAGCGCACCTAATTTCGCGCAGGTCTCAAATAGCGCACGCTATTGATGACGTGTAATGCAATATAAGCTATTTTGTACGCTATATACGCAATTGCTTGAATTGCTTACGCTACCAAACTTATTTTCAAAAAAAAAAAAAAAAAGTAAATAATAAAAGAATAAACAAAAAACGAAGGTCACAGCCCACAGATCACCCTCTTCATTTGCAATTTTGCATTGCCCCTTTCACCTTTCTCTTCTCTGGTTCTCCTGTAAAATTCACCTGCAAATTGCAAACAAAAGCTCATCGTAAAATTCAGAAAACACGTCGGTGGCACTCGGCTATCAAGGTATTTTCTTATTTTTTTTCTTTATCTCTGTCCCTATCATTCTTTTATAGCTTATATATATAACCTAGATGATTTGAAATTTGAAATTAATTTGGGAATTTTTGAGATTAGGGCTGAACTTTGAAGAGTTAGGAATCCCTAGCGCAAATTTCCCATTCATTTTTTTCCGTGGCCAACTAATTTTCCGTAAACAATTTAACATCTAGCAGGATTATGATGCCCTTTTACATCCAGTAGTCACGAATTTACGATAAAACTAACATGAGTTTGATTTTTTTCCAAACATTCATTTGATCTGAAATTGAATGTCAATAATTTTTTAAGAAAGACCTAGTTCATTCATTCTTGAGCCTTATCATCAGGTAAGTACATAAATGGCTGATAGTGGTGGGTCGGGTAGAAGTCAATGTTTGAGTGAAAAATATTAAATTATTGGGGCAAGTTCACAAATGAATTACTCTTTTGTTGGTAGTTATTTTCCAAATATTATTCATTTTGATTACATAATGTATTTTCATACAAAGATTTAACTTAGTTTACCTATTTTATTGTCATTTGAATAGCTTTGGCTGATTATGGATTTTCCTGAAATGAAGATTAAGAAACCAGACTCTATGCAATTTAATAAAGCATGCTGTGATTTGCTGAAGATTTGGGATTTTCTTATTTTGCAGTGATTTGTGAATTCTCAACAACTTAATAAACTTTGAGATTTTGAGGGCTTGATTGTTTATGAAATAATTTGTTCAAAATGAGTTATTTTGGTTAACCATAGTTAATTTGAAAAAAGGTAGTATAGTTAGTTGTTAGTGGAATTTTAAGGATGAATTAAAATAATATTTAAAATAAAATGATTAAAATTGATTTGATGTAAAAGTAGGAGATAAATGATTGGAAATGATAGGTAGTTAAAATTATGTGAGTGGATGAATAGTGAATTAAAGTTGATGTGATGTGTAATAATGATTGGTTTGTGTTATTTAATTATATAAATAATATTAAAGATAGTGAGGTTGAGTTAAAGTTGAGTTAGATTTTGAGTATAAAATAACGTTGAGTAATTATTTCATAAACAATCAAGCCCTGAGTCTTTTACTTTGTAGATTAAGACATTGGGTTGTTTGTAAGAATTAATATTTGAATGTTATTTTTTGGATTTAGTGTCCTAGTGTATGGTTTAAGACCATTTCAGTTATTTTTGCTTGTGTGGTTATATATATATTATTATTATTTATTACATTAAAAGTGAATTGCTCGAATAGCTTACGCAATACGCTACGCTATTTACGCTACGCAGTATAAAGACCAAGACGCGACAATTGCACTATACGCGTTTTAAAACACTGATATCTTTACACAAAACTTCCAAACCAATTGATACACCATTGTTGATTCTTGATGTATGAATGTTGATCTTTCTGCATAAGCATGTATGCTATATTTTTTTTATTGTTTGTTCGAAGTAAAAACTAAAACGGTTTATCGCTTTGTAAGACAGCTACTTTGCCTGAGGAACATTTTTTTTTTTCCTCTTTCCTTTTTCTTGTCCTCTTTTCTACAGTTGTAAAGCTTTTGAATGCTTGGAAACATGTTCCATATATTACATAGCAGATTTGAATGAAAATTGTACTACATTTATATATTGTGTTTTCTTTGTTCAGTTTTGTGCGTTAATAACGTGGATTTCTTGCATGTCAAGTCATTTGGCTGGTAATCTTTTTGGTTTGTCTCAAGCATATTCTTGTTCACCCATTGCATTATGCTTTTAATTATACCTCACCAGATAACAACATTTGGATGTTCATTGGCCAAGCATAGAAAATCTACCACTTTGGAAGCAAAGGACATCATGCTACATCTTGGTTAGTTTCAATGAGTTTCTTTTGTCAGTCGTGCAAATATATAAATCTTAAACTTTCTTTTTATCCTTGGATTCAGAAAGAAACTGGAACATTACTCTTCCTGGGTTTGGTGGAGATGAGATTAAGCTGTACAAAAAACCAGTAAGTGTTTCCTGGCTTCTTTTACTTCAAGAGTGCAAAACTTATCATCTTATTGCTCACTTGTTTCTTGTGTGTTTCCCAGACAGTAACTGAGATTCACAGAGAAAGGCTTGCTGCTGTAAGTTATTTTTTTCTTCAGTTCACTTACGCATAAAATCACATGTTCATTTTAAATATTGGGACAACAATGGACCATTTCGTCAAACCTCGTTTTTACCAGCTGTTCCTTCTCTTCTGCAGATAAAGAAGTCAATTTTGACCACTGAAATGGCGAGTAAAACTCCTGCTGGACCACCTGGTGCTTCTTCCAAAGGTCATCTTGCGAAAGGACCTTCTGGTAATATCGGTGCCCCTTCAAATCCAAAAATCCGTGAAGCTACATGAGGCACCTCATGAGGGCAGTTATTTTTCAGGTAATTTTTCTCTTTCCTGCCTGTCTTTGGTGTGAAGTGAAGTAAAAGACCTGAAACATAAATGCACATATTTATGTATGTGCATGTGTGGAACTTGCTATTTTGGAAATTATTGGTTGTGTTTTTTTATACATTATGTGATGAATTAGACTTTGTTGAAACTAGTGCACATATTCATACACGGAAAAAATGAGTATGGTTTATGCTTGTCTTCATGGTTTTCTTGGTTTCTTGCAATCTGTGATCAGAGTCTACTTATTAATATATTTTGATGTTCTGGTCAGTCCTATCCCTTTATCGTTCTCTACTCATTTCTTGATGCAGGTCGAATTTGAGAGCAGGTGAGAGAAAGAGTGAATAATCTGTGATGTCGAACCTAACAAGAAGTATTTTAAGCATGTGCATGAAATTACAAATGATCTATGGAGATGGAAAATCTTGGTGTTGAGTGCTAGTGGGCTATGTTTTTCCATGTTTTCGACCGAATACCGAAGAAATGAATCATGTGTTTTCAATGGGGTGAATGTCCAATTCTTATTTGATTTGCTACAACATCTTTTGTGAATCCAAAATGCTAAAATGGTTGGAAACACTCCAAAGGAGGCATTAATCGTATGGGTGTTTTGAGTTACAAAAGGAAAATACAGGCATCAGGAGCCACTAGAAGCTTTTGTCGTGTTCGAGAGTTGAGAATTTAATTGGGTGACTACTTTTGGAAATAACACTATGCTCGCCTCTTTTTCCGCCGAGATCAAGAAAATGTATCTTTTATTTTGGTCTCGTTGTCTAATTTGTTTTAGTTATTGCACAAGCTCTTGGGTCAGTTCATATATTAGATTGTTGCAAAGGATTTTTGCATGCAGATAATCAATCAGAATGAATATTTGCTGGCTGCAACTAGGTCTTTTAGATTTTTCTGTCTCCCTCACAGTTATGCTAAAATTTACACTCTGAATTTGGCACACCAAGTTATTACTGCCCTAGGGAAGTCTGGACTATATCAGGTTAATTTTTGTATAGGGGTCAGTTTTTCTATGTCAAAAGACATGTTTGTCTGATTATGTTTTCATGAAAACTTGAACTTAAGAGCAAGAGTATGATGAATTTCATAGGCACCGTTTTTAATCGTTGAATTAATACTCTTAGGGGTGTTTGCGTGAGTGCATGTGAGGAAATGGATATAAACTATGTGCCGTAGCCCGTAGGGTTGAACTTCGCATGGTTATTGTGGGATTTAGACATGGCCAAATGGCGGGCCGGGCCCGGCGGACCGAAGGGTTGGTTTACTTCGATCCTGAACCGACACGCCCTAAATCCGTGCTGGGCCCATGATCCCGCGGGCCGGGCTGGACCCGGCCCGGACCCGGCCCGGCCCGTCGGGTCGGTGTCGACAAAAAGAAGGCCCTGGACCGGCCCGCTTGAAATTTGAGCCGGGTTTGGACACGCGGTCAAAGGGTTTGACCGGGTCGGGTCCGTGCCGGGTCGGCGGGCCGGTTGACCCGGTGGCCATGTCTAGTGGGATTAAACTATTGCTTACATTTGTGTACTTCGTCTTAAAGTTCATTAAATTTACATGCGATCTTTCCACAAAACCGAAAAGGTGAACTGTAAAATATAATCACTTCTTTGAAATAAAAAATCAAAAAAAAAATCTCTTTTTTTTTTAGTTGAATTCCGTCATTGAGCTGGTAGAGTACCTACTCGTCTTTTGATATCACATTTCAATTGGCAGCTAAAATGAAGAAAAAAATACCAGCCCAGATAATAATTGAAAGCACCAAAAGGTTGATTACTTTTCAAATCCTCCTTTGATATCACATTTCAATTGGCTGCTAACTGAAGAAAAAAATACCAGACCAGATAATAATTGAAAGCACCAAAAGGTTAATTACTTTTCAAATCCTCCATGGCTTCGATCGTGTGCATCAAGATTCCACTTATGTCCCCACAGCAACAATAGCATGCTAATCCGATGCTACGTATATTGAAAGTGTTCTTACACGGGTGCACATAGCCAAACTCACTTATGCTATTCATAATTTTTTTTGAGCTTAAATTTAATTTGGTTATAAAATCAATATCACGCCTAATATGCTTTTGTAAAACTAAACATCTCCATAATTTTCAACCTTTTTTTTTTTACCAAAATGGCTCCGGGTGAGATGGGTCGCTACTCCACCAATTGGAAAAACTTTTAGCTCTTTTTATGGACGACTCCTTACCATCCAACTTCGCACCTTCGAGAAGAAGAACTACAAGTTATTCGACTCATTCAGACAACACTCAGCACAACATCGGTTCGTTTCCTACTACTCCAGACATATATGAACTTAATTATGGAGATAAATGACAATTACGACAACATGTTGTGAAGCAAAAATCTCTAGATAAAATAATCCCACACAAGGATTTTGCAAGGTCTTGTAGGTCTTCAAGATTGAATCTTTCCATTATTTGTTAATGGATTTTCCTTTTAAAATGTCTCTCATCTTTTCGTCCTCCGTTATTGTCATTCAAACTTTAGTTGGTTTCTCTTTCTGTTGTAAAAGGAGTAATGTTCCAAAAGTCACTTTTCTTCATCCCCAAAAGTACTAGGTTGTGGATTTAATTTCTTTCTGTATATTTATAAGGATATTCAATGTCTCTTTCTGGTTCTTCATGATTTCCTCCACCTCCATTTGGATCTGGTGGATTTTTTCAATAACTTTACACGGTCTTTTGTACTTCACGTATATCAATGGAGTGTTTAGAGGAGTCAGGAATAACTTCCTTCCAGACTAACACATGCATGATTATAACTCATATATGCATATGATCTTAATGAGCTATTTCTTGATAATATAATAGATCAGTTTGTATTAATTGATTTACCCAGAGGACATTTATATGATACTTCTTTTGTTTTCAGCATAGTGTAGTTGTAATTCTATCTACTCATGTTAATACTTGCTCAACATAACAGTCGTCTCAATGGACAATCATTTATTGTTGTTCGTGTTCACACATCTTCAAAATTTGAATATATCAAGTATGTACACACTTTGGACAATTTTCACTATTTATTCTTAATTTTTTTTTTCTAAAGTTAATTACCATATAATAAATTCATATAAAAGTTCATAATAAAACATGGGTTCTCATATCATTTTTGCCAATACAATTTCATCTCATTTTAACATTTTAATATAAAATATATCCTTATTTTATCAAACCTGGTTTTAGCGAAAGTGGGTGTATCTATAGCATATAAGTAGACACTTGTCCAATTTTAAATGGATCAGTACACTGTTTGTATCTTTCTAACTTCGATGCCAGGTGTTGATCACATAACAATTTGATAAAACATTTTGTCAATATATAAAATTATAGAGAGAGAGAAATAATTTTAATTCACGAGTTTATTTGTAAAATTATGTATGGAATAGAATATATAGTATGAATAGCCAAACAAAGCGTTCAGTTCTAATTTAAAAAACATTGTGTACAATAAAAATCAATTGCTTAATTTATAATTATATTAGTTTGTCTAATATTGTATATTTGTTGAATTCTTTTAACTGTGGTATTGAATGAGATACATTGACTATGAGGATGTAATGAGGTGTAAGAATACCATATCAATTAGTTTTGTATATTACATTTACAGTTAAAAATATTTGATGATTTATAATATGAATTGATGTCAATTAATCTATGTTTTCTAAATTTTAAAAATATAATAACGTTGTTTGGTTCTTACATATGTTATTTGTATAATTTTTATTTTTAAAATGCAATATGATATTTTCGTAATAACAATTAACCCTTCGTACATTTTGTACAAATATTTTGTTAGGTAATTGTTTACATTTATTTTTAGTCTGATATGGGATACTATATAGCTGAGGAATAGACCGATTTGCATCATCGGTCGAGCAACCTCGAAGTGGAAAAAACCGGATTGGGAGAAGGATGATCGACCAAAAAGAAGGAGATCGAGCAGAATAGCAGAACTGGTCGAGGATCGACCAGAATGGAGGAGATCGAGCAGAATAGCAGAACTGATCAAGGATCGACCAAAGAGGAGGAGATCGAGCACTCAACAGGTGAAGAGCAGTCTAGAGCGTGGCGTGAACGCGAGAAGACGCGTGGATGACGTTGGAAGATCCCAACGGTCTGCGCGGAGAAATAATCTCCCTCAGCTTAGAGGGACACGTGGCGAGAATATATTGGTGCAGAGTGATAGTGGCGAAAGCCACCCCTGACATCTCTGACACACACACACACTATGTGTGTACGGACGGGCAGTACGGGCAGGACAGATCACTAAAGCCGGGCAGTTTTTAGGGCAGGTATCTCACTCCTATATATATGGGAGTGAGTCTTTTCTTGTGACTTACGATTTATCCATTCTTTACTTTGGAAAATTGAACAAACACATACTGACTTAAGCATCGGAGGCTCTTCACCGGAAAACCCCTCCGGTGTGAGAGTTCTGTGCAGGAACGCGACGTTCTACCGGCGAGGAAGAAGGAGGCAAGTTGATTTCAAGTCGATCGGAGTATTTTGCATTACCATAGTCCATGCTTAATTTTTCCATAAAATTTTCTATTATTATTTTAACATTTGAAATGGTATTGCAAATAAGGATGCTGACATTGATATTATTTTACTGATAACTGNTAAAATTCTTTAGCCCTTTTACAATTTTATTGGGTCTCTTTTTTTTTTTAAGAAAAAGAGGTGATGTCGATTCTTGAGCGCGATGGGATTGACGGGCTGATGTTTTCGGACAATGGTACTAAAACGAATTTTGAGAAGATTATTATTGATACTGATCCTGGCATTGGTAAGAATTATGAACCCTTGTTTTCAATTTATGCGATCAAGATTGGAGTTTTTTGGCTTATTTGTTTAGTTATTTATTTTTTTTGGGTTTTAGCTTATTGGTTCTGGGCAATTTGGGTTTTATGCTGGTGTAGTTTATTACTTTATTATGCTGATGGAATCTGAAATGTGGCATCTTTTTGAATCACTTTTCAGTTGATCTTTTTCATTTTTTCCTTTTGACTGCTCAGTGAACTATATATTATCAGGCTTTGGACAAAAATAAGGTATAGTTTAGAAAATTATCATTTATGAAGTATGTGTTTGTGAAAAGAAAAAAAAGGAAAATATACAGAGCAAAATGTGAACTTGCAGATTATTTGGGGTAAAAGTTTGTCTGGAATTAGGAGTGGATGAATTGTATAGTAACTAAGTGGCAAAATATGAGAGATCAATTAGATTATGCAAAGTTTTTAAATTAGAGGGCTTGCAGTTGATTGGTAGAGTTCATACTACAGGTGTGTGTAGTGCACATATAATATAATAATTAGTATGCATGCTAATTTTACAAACACAAAACTTCAATTTTATATCATAAATCAAAGCAAACTCTTCTGGTGTGCATGAGTTCAAGTTATTCGGAATCTATAAAGTAGAACACCGATTCACTATGAGTAGGAACACCAGTTCAATATGGGATGAGTCAAACAGTTTTGGCAAAAGCTCAAGACTTTGGAACGTTTGGATGTTGAGTCCTTTGAGTGAATGTTGATTGAGTATGAGATTTACATGAAAGAATACATTTTGTATGTATTCTGAAACAAATGCTGTTTGGAATCTGTGGATATGCAGATGATAGCATCGCAATACTAATGGCATTTCAGTCACCTGATTTGGAGATATTAGGATTAACAACAACATTTGGCAATGTTACTACAGAAGCTGCCACGCGTAATGCATTGATTCTGGTATGCGTTTTTTTTTTTTTATTAAATATTTATTCGATTTCAGTGCCTTTCTACTGTATATGTGCATTTAGGTTCTTGTTTTCCGGACAAGTTCATGATCACTTACTGTATTTTAATGCAAAAAAGGATAGTGTGAGCTTGCTGGACGTCCAGATGTGCCCGTGGCAGAGGGAAATCCTGAACCATTGAAGGTATAATGGAAAATAGACAATGTGATTATTTATTTGCATTAAAAATGGTTTACAATTAGAAAATGTGATTTATTACGTGTGCATTTTAATCAAATGAATAAGAAGTAAACTAAAAAAATGGCACTCGCTGAATAAATAGAGTACAAGAATTTGAACACTAGCGTTCTTTTCCCTTGCTCTGTTACATCATGACTGGATAACGGCATAGTAGCCTTTCTTTATTGTGAAATGCGAATTTATGCGCATGAATTTTATTTTATAATTTAAGCTATATCTTGACCATATTTAAATTAAAAAAAAAAAAACAGAGAGGACCACCACGTATTGCAGACTTTGTTCACGGCTCAAATGGATTGGGGAATATCTCCATTTCTCCTCCAAAATCCAAGAAATCCGAAAAATCGGCATCTGAATTTTTGGTTGATAAAATCTCTGAATATCCCGGTGAAGTTTCTATACTTGCATTGGGACCCCTTACAAATCTCGCGCTCGTAAGTTAGTTATTTTCGCAGTTATTAGTTTTGCTCATGCTATTACTTGTGCCCAAAATTTATCCCTTTTTCTCGATTTTAGGCTATAAAGAGAGACTCCTCCTTTGCATGCAAAGTGAAGAGAATTGTGATACTTGGCGGGGCTTTCTTTGCTTTGGGAAATGTTAATCCTGCTGCCGAAGCAAATGTAAGTAATTCATGCCTTTTCTATAGTTGTTTGTTCATTCAGCTTCTGAGATTGTACCTAAAGAATCCGTAATTTTTTGTGTATTAAAAATGTAAAAACTTATTTTGCTATAGTTTACTTAAAAATCTCCAAAAATCATAGTTTTAATTTGGTGTGAGTGGCAGATATATGGAGACCCAGAAGCTGCAGATATTGTGTTCACTTCGGGGGCAAATATCGACGTTATTGGCATAAATATCACAACCCAAGTCAAAATGACAGGTCAAAATTCAAGTTTTCTATTGAGATAAAAGTTTTTTATTTCCTTCAACTGAGCTGATTTGTACTGGAATAATAGTATCGTAATTGAACGTATATTGTCTTCAGATGTGCACCTAGACGAGCTCAAGAAATCAAAAGGACGGTACGCGAAGTTCATATGTGATATTTGCAAGTTTTATCGAGACTGGCATGTGAAGTCCGATGGCATATATGGTAATTTTCATAGCTAATTATAGGAACAAAAACACTACCTCATCTTAACAGTTTATTGGGGAATCTACACGGAACTAACCATGAAAATCGAGTATTATGGAAAAACAACGTATTTTTTTTTTTTTGTTCAGGAATTTTTCTTCACGATCCTGTGAGTTTTGTGGCGCTAGTGAGACCCGATTTATTTACTTTTAAGAAAGGAGTTGTTAGGGTTGAGACACAGGGCATTTGTGTCGGGCATACACTTATGGACCAAGGATTGAAGAAGTATGATTTTTAACTTTCCTTTTTCATTTTTTAAAAATATAAATTTTGTAGGTAATATGACATAAAAATTGATTTGAAACTAACTTTGATGCTACAGATGGAACTCAAACAATCCATGGTCAGGCTTTTCTCCAGTTTCAGTAGCTTGGACAGTTGATTCTCAAGAAGTACTTAAATATGTGAATGAGATTTTAATGAAGCCCTGATGTTGAGCTTGTATGCAGAATAAATGTATACCCTGCTAATTAATTATGATTTAAAAAAAAAAAAAAAAAAAAAAAACTGTGGAAATTTGTGAAATTGATTTCTTATGATTGGAACATCATTTGGACATTTTCCATGTAACTGAATCAGTTCTATGGAATATGTTGGTAATTATTCAACACTTTCTTAATTACTTTCATGTTCTTGGGATGCTTGATTCATCACAGTTGTGTTTGTTTGTGAAGAAAAATGGGACAAGTTCAGTTCCATTAACAAATTAATCAGGCAATGTTGAGTTCCAACTTCCTACACCCATTTAAATTTGGATTAGAATTTTAGAGGAAATGAGCAGACGATGGATTAATATGCATGATAATATGTTGCAATATAGATTGCCAATTTTTTTCTTGCCAAACAACTCCCAACTCTATAAACCTAAACACAAAATCTGTTCTCTCATAATTAAATTAAAGCTAAATGAGGTTGATTGAGAATTATTGGTGTTATCTATCCAATAATGCAGCTAAACTAATATTAACCAAAATCAATTAAATCACTGAACCATCTCTGCCGGCTTTTATTGTCACTTTTGAAAAAGGATCCCATTTTATAGAATTTATTAAAAACCCAACGATGAGGAGAAGTCTTCAACAGTTAGGACCCTACTATTTTCGTACATGAAAATGGACAACGAGTCAAAAGGTCAACACCCTTTTTCGTGATAGATTTTAATAAAAGCAGTAGTTAACCAACTCATATTTATGAGATTTTAGGTCATCAAATCCCAAATTTAAGACCCTTTCTATGATGTCAAAAGCTTTCTGTGGGGACTATGGAGATAATTTGATGTGTGGTCATATGACAAAGTGTTTGTATTACATTTAATGAATGCTTGGCTACATAACAACAATCATCTTGTTTTTCACGGTCTTATAACATAAAAAAAGTTATGAATTACATCTTATAATTGTGCATTAAAAAAAAAATATAACATATTGACATGTTTGATGGTTAGACATTATAATATCAGCATTTGATTTATTTGAATGGAGATAAGCCATAAGAAAATGTGTTACACATCATCACACCAATTAATCAATATATTCTATAAATTTTATTGTATATCATACTCTAAATATATTAGTCGATATACCCAATAACTGTGACGCTGCTATTAAACATGTGTTAGACAATCATACTTTTTTCAATTCATATTTATATTTTTGCCATACATAATAAATAATGGACTTGTTTGTTTTTTGGCGTTTTTGGCCAAACCACTATTTTAGCGGTTTTGACCGAATCTGAAACGCCAAAGTAAGGTTGAAATGTTGTTTGGTTGGCTGGCTTTTTCCCTCAGCTTTTTTTGTGAAAAAGCCAAAAATGAAACGCTAAGGGGAGCAGCGTTTTCTGCTAGCTTTTTTCACTTGCTTCTTAGATTCTTGATAAATATTTATTGGCTCAATCCTATACAGTTGTTGTTAAGCTTTTTTTCTTCAACTTTTAATTGCCTTTTTCCTACAGCTTTTTCTTTCATAGGTTAACTAGTTCAAATATCAATTTTATATTTAATACAATTTACTTTTGCTACCTTTAATATTTTAATTAGTTATTTTTTATGTTGATTTTTTATAAATACGAAAACTTAGTTAAAACTATTTAATCATATCAAATTTATTTTTATAATCATTGATACAAATTATTTTATCAAATTAATAATGCCACCTATAATTTTTCAAAATCAATCCGCTAACTTTACCAAACAACATTTTGCGGAACCGCCAAAGCTAACAGCTGGTCAAAACAGCTAACACAATCCGCTGGTCAAAACAGCTATCGCAATCCGCTAACAGCTGATTACCAAACAAGGCCAATATAAACAAAAATAATATATGTCATAGCATAAATAATTATAACATTTGATCCGCCTAACCATTAGTTGTAAGTATCACATAAGAATTTGCAAAACATAATTTATCATATTAATTAACTATGGATGGCCATCTTGTTGATGACAGTTACCAAACTCCCTTAATCGGAAAGTACCGTTTCAACTCCCAATTTCACATAACCAGAAAACATAAAGCACGCAAAAAAATAATAAAAATAAAACAAAATAAGAAACTATTGCACCCACTCCAACAACCTTTGGAAACTTAAAGCAACCAAAACCATTACATACTTCCTCCCAAGTCAAATAAAATCAAGTCATACTCTTCCTATAATAAACCCCCCACAAAATCACACTTCCTCAAAATCCAAACCAAACCCAAATCAAAACCTTTTTTTTTTAAAAAAAAAAAGAAAAAATAATAATAATGTCGCGGGTCGACCCGTCTACTGCATTAGCAGAAACCGTCTCGTGGTACGCCTCGTTGTTATTAGCTCTAATGCTCGTCCTCAGTTGTTGTGAGTCGGGTGAGAGTGGAGTCAATGTGGAGTCCGAGATATTGGGAAACGTGTTTTCGAGCGAAAGGCCGTGTGACGAGATATATGTGGTGAAAGAAGGCGAAACGCTACATACAATAAGCGAAAAGTGTGGCGACCCATTTATTGTGGAGGAAAACCCACATATCCATGACCCGGATGATGTTTTCCCGGGTTTGGTCATTAAGATTACTCCTAATTTGAAGAATATATAGGTAGAATCATGTTTTGCTCTTGAGTTTGTTTGATCCAACATGCATTTTCAGCTTTTTTTTTTTTTTTTTTTTTCNACAATTCACGTACAATTTGATCTGGAATAATATTATATTGTGTATACAATGTTATCGTTATATAATTATCACTGCATGGAACTTCTATGGGAAAAGTTGGATCCTAATATTGTAATGTTACAATGTACATCAAATGTTATTAATTCTCCTTCTCGCAAGTGATTATACTTACTACTCCCGTCCTCCTATTTTTACTATTTGTCACTCTAGTTTAATTGATCATTACTTAAATAAATGTCATTTTGGTTAGTTTGTTCATATTTTTTCATTTTTTAACCCTCCATCTAACACACAGTCTCTCTCATATTCCATCTCCATTTTTGTCCATAACGTCCATTAAATAGGGTTAATATTAGCAAAAAAAAAATATTCTTAATTAGCGTAGTGCTTCTCGAAACGACAAATAATAAAAATAGGAGCGATTATTATTTATCTTTTCAATTCCGTCTTGTTCATTCATTTTTCAGGTTTGAACAGATTAATAACTTTTTACTTGCTAAAGATATGTATTGGACACATTAACTGATGTTGCTTAGAGTAGCTTCTGAACATTAATTTTCATAAGCTGTTATATTAATAGAGGTCAAAGAGAAAAAAAAAATCAAAAAATACTTTATGAGTTTTAATATATCAACCGTCCATTAGTGAGAAGAAACCTATAAATTTAAAGTGATGTAAACAAACGTCAAAAACTATTAAACTAATGTAAATGAGTGGAATATAGTTTAATTGTGCTGTTTATTGCACAATATATTTAACTAACGTCAAAGATAATACACTTTCACTATATCACTTAGTTTACATCAATATCTAAAAATTAATCATTAAAATATATTGTTCGTAAAATATTATTTATCTATTTACATGTTTATATTTAACTTATCATTAATAATTATTTTGCTATTCCTATATTACATCTCCATCTTATATTTATTTGAAGAGAAAATATATTTATTATTTCTCATTTATTTTTCTATTTTTATCTCGCAACAGTTTTAATCATTAATTACATGTTTTACGTCTACTCATAATTTGAAAACATTTCATTAATTCCCCAAATCTTTTACCTTCTGATTCACAAAATTTTCTATACCCAGTAGAGAAAATAATTAACCATTAAAAAAAAGGATTACAAGAATAAGAAAAAAAAAAAGGAAAAGGAAGTAAAAATAAAATGCGAATGTATTGAATAAGCAAAACATTTTTGGACAACGTACTTCATTTTGTTAATCTCTTTAGCGCCTTGAGTAAGCACATTTTTTAGTTCCAATTTTACAATTGGGTTTGGTCACCTAAAGTTGGGTTGCCCATAACACAGCCCACTCAGAATAATACTTCTATAGAAAACCCAGTCAGTATCAGATTTGGAGAGGAATCGATCTGCCCGAGAATTTCGCGGCATCCAATGAAGAAGAGTATCTTTGCTCTTGAAGTCTTGATCAAGTATTTTTCATATCTATCATTATATAAAAAGAATAACTTTTTTATAAATTTGGAAACTTTTTCCCGCCAAAATCATTAAATATATCTTGCATATAGTAATTGTTTGACAAATCTGAATAGGCAAAAAAATCGGCTCATTAATTGTGTAAAGATTTATTTTTCTTTTTTCCTGTTTTTTAGTTTATCAAAACCGTTATTTGACAATAAATATTTGTTTTTCTTTTTTCCTATTTTTAGTATAAATCTACACGAGCTTTTACAAATCCCATTGCATACGTGTTTAAAAAATCTTATCTCTTAATTACTACTAGAAATAAAATAGAAACCAATTCTTAATTACTACTAGAAATCCATTATCTTTAAAAAGAAAAAATAAAATAAAATGGAAACCAATTCATAATTACTACTAGAAATCTATTATCTACTTTAAGAAGCTAATTTTCATCGGTCTAATTACTAATATTTTTACAAATATTATAAGCTAACCATACAAAAAAGTATAACAATAATTGTAATCAAATTTTTTTATATTCTCTTATACAAAATAATTTCATATTGTTTGACCCCGAATCTTTATTTATAATTATTAAGTATTGTTTATCCTCCTCTTTAATTTATAATTATTTTTTTTCTTCCTCTTTTTAAATAAGATCAATAGTAATTTTCATTTCCGCCATTGAGTGACTCAAACTCGAGGTCTATTTATAATATTGGTCCCGTGCATCGCACGGGGTACACACTAGTTTTCTTAGGATTAGGTATCTTCTATAAGACTATTTTATATTTTTCTATTAATGTGGACCATATAATTATATTTTTCGAAGTTTATTAAAATAGGTACATAACATCACAAAATATGCACGTATTAATGATCGGCTAAGTACAGTTACAATATGGAGTAGGTATTGATCTTCTAAATGTTTAATAAAATGCAAGAAACTCATGTTCGTTGACCAAAGGCGGTACTCAATCCTAACTTATAAGTACTTTTTAAGTACACACTCGATACTATTGTGAAGAAAAACAATTATCGGTACTGTTGTGAAAAAAAACAATTATCAGTTTCTTAAATATAATTTCCTTAATCGATCATGTCTACTATGTCATTTTGATCTTTCA